TCTTTGTATATTTCAAATTAAAGTAACAAGAATTAATCCTACCATTACCTCTGGAGTGTTAATATCCTTCCCTTTTAAGCTTGTCAGCATAAAATATGGAATATGTATTTGATGTGTGTGTGTGTGGGGGGGGGGGGTACATGATTTAATTTTTTCGTTTGTTTAGTTGGTGCCTACTGTTTAATTCTGGCTTCAGCACAATGATGAAGCATTTGGGGAAGAAGATACATCCCAGTAAGGCAGCACTGGAGGACAAGATGGAGAAGATCTCCACAGCCACCATGGCTTTCCCTACAGTGCTCAGGTAGGTCGGCACAAAGGACAGCCACACACTGCAGAAGGCCAACATGCTGAAAGTAATAAATTTGGCTTCATTAAAGCTGTCAGGTAAATTACAGGCGAGGTATGCCACAAGGAAGCTGGCAATAGCCAAGAAACCCAGGTATCCCAGGACACAATAGAACATGAGGACGGAGCCTTCATTGCATTGCAAAATCATGTTTTCCATAAGGGAGTGCATGTCTAAGTCAGGGAAGGGAGGAAAAGTTGCCAACCATGCAGTACAAATGTTGGCTTGGAAAAGAAAGCAGGAAAGAACAATAAAAAGGGCCAGTCTTTTTCCAACCCATTTCCTCATCTGAGATCCTGGCCTGGTGGCCATGAAAGCCACAACCACAGTGGTGGTTTTGGCCAAGACACAAGAAACAGCCACTGAGAAAATGATGGCAAAAGTTGGTTGACGCAGAAGGCAGGTGACTTTCCCAGGTTGGCTGAGGAATAAAAAGGAAGAGAGGAAGCAGAGCAAAAGAGACCCAAGGAGAGTGTAAGTGAGGTCCCGGTTGTTGGCTTTAACTAGGGGAGTATCCTTGTACTTAATAAAAGTTCCAAGTATCCAGGCTGTTATCAAGCCAAAAGCAACAGCAGCTGAGGTCAAAGAGATCCCTAAAGGTTCCCCATAAGATAGGAAAGTTGTTCTCTTGGTGATGCAATGATCTTGTTCCTTGCTTGGATACTGATCTTCAGGACATTTGTAACAATCTTCCATGTCTAGATGAAAAAGTCAGAAGAAAATTGAGTCATTGACTAACAAAGTCAAATTCTACTCTAATTGGTCCTCATTCTGACTTAAGTCTATCCCCATATTGCAATATTATACTGGAATATAACATTTATTCAATATCATAATGTGGGATGAACATTATGATTCAACCCACATTCAAAATCTCAAGTGGATTTGAGATTTTAAGGACAGTGAGACATTGAAATGCAGACTGTTGTGGCCTTCGTTGCGAGAAGCATTTTATAGACAAGAAATGATAAGTAAACATAAATGGTTAAGTTCTATGATGAATTTTCTCAAGGGGATTGTAAGATAACATCATGAGAAGATTTGACAGTAGAAGGATATCCTTGTCAATGGTTTTCCTACATACAATTGTTGGAAAGGTTTAAACTGGATAAAAGATTTTATGGTTTTCAGCAATGTAAGACTGAAATTGAAACAACATTATGTACTAATGATGAATATGTTATTGCTGAAACATATAAACTTTGCTTGAAATATGAGACAGAAGAAGAACATTAATTGTTCTGGATTAATGGATTAAAAACTTTTGTTACAATATGCAAATGGAACCATGGGAAAATATGTGGCTGAAATGATTGAAATTTACATTACGTTTTATCCTTAAAGAGAACTTTTTATAAAATGATATATCATTGATATTTGTCACCAGAGAAATTGTCTAAAATGTATAAAGTTACTTTGAATCTTTGCAGGAAATGTGAACAATATGAAGGGACATTTTGGACACAAATGCTACATTAATTCAAAAGATTTGAAAGATTAAAGGACATCTGAATCCAGAGAGTTTCCTTTTGTCCTTTCCTAAAGGACAAGGCAACTAGAAAAAATTCATGGAACTTTGTTTTTTTTATATAACAACTGCAGCCAGATTATTATATGCTTGAAAGTGGAAAGATCTGACCCTACGCACAATGGAAGAATGGTTGGTAAAGATGATGGAACTTGCAGGGATGGTTAAATTGACTTCTTTGATCAGAGAAAAAGTGATATCTACATTTATGGCTGACTGGAAACCCCATACAGACTTTCTGCATGAAAAAGAGAAAATTGCACTAATCACTTGTGGTTAGATGATTAGAAAAAAAAATGGGTAATAGAAAAAAAAAATATTTTTTTGGTAATCATAAAGTAAGAGATAATTTTGTAATTCTACTTATAGTTTCTGCAAAAGAAATCAGAAGTTTCTTCTTTTCTTTTCTTTTCTTTTCTTTCTATTTTCTCTTTCTGCATTTTTTTCCTTCCTTCCTTCCTTCCTTCCTTCCTTCCTTCCTTCCTTCCTTCCTTCCTT